GATATCAGTTCTCTCTTTCTGCCAAAACTCCAGTCACATGAAAGAATGAACAGTCATTCTAAAGATTAGCTCATACTGACAGCAAATAGTGAAAATGAATGAGAACCAAAAGCAAATTTTATTTGCTTAGGGAAATTGGTTCATAGTACAAAACATCAAAAATTTTTGCTTTCCATGTGTTGGAATGACAGAAATTTGCTAAATGGGAAAATTCATGAGATCAGAAAAAGAAAAGCAAATACAGTGGGTGATCAGTTAACGAACATAATCCGTTCCAAGACTTTGTTCGCTATCTGAATTGTTCGTTAACCGATTATCGATTTACCATAGGTTTCTATGGAAATTTGATTAATTCATTCTGGAGACCCCCAAAAATAAAAAATATATACTTTCTTACTACGTTTATTCATATGTAATAATAAAAATACACATATACACGGTCTTGCATTTTTATTAGTCATGTTTTTTCTGTTTATTGGGGTTAAAGAATCTGTCCAATGTCGATTGCTTTTCTGTCTTCATGATTTTTCAGAATTAATAGAGAGGTTGAGGCGCACGTTTTAAACGTGTAAACGTGTACGTGTGACGTTCGGCGCCACTTTCCCGTAAGCCTAAAAGTTTGACAATGGTGTTTGGATAGTCGGTGGAATCACACTCGACATTCCAAACACCATCGTCAAACTTTTAGGCTTACGGGAAAGCAGTGCCGAACGTCACACGTACACGTTTAAAACGTGCGCCTCAACCTCTCTAATAGCATTGTAATTGTAGAGATACCTAGGCCTATTAACCTCAACCTGGTTTGGATTCCATTTTAAGACCATTGTTCTGACATCCTCCCACTTCTTCAAAAGATCTTTAATAGCAGATATTGGCATAAATCTGCATTTTCAGAAAACGTAAAAGAATTGTTTCTGTCAGAAATATAAAAGGCTGGAATTACAAGGGAGAGTTTCAAAGTTTGGGGGAATACTATCTGATCAGTATATACTGGGTAGAATGTTGATGCTGATGTCTCCCGTGTTCCGAAAGTTTTGAATTGTTGCCTGAAGACAAAGGAAGACCAATCGGTTTTCGTTATTTTATGTTGCTTCTTGTGTTTGTTCAGTGAAATGTTCGTTATCTGAACATGTGTTCATTGTCCAATCATAAAAATCTCTCGCGAAAGTGTTCATTATCTGATTTGTTTGTTAACTGATCACCCACTGTAATATATAACGCAACGAGTATTATTTGCTCTGCTTTTTGTATCTGCTCGCAATTCATCCTCAATGCAGACTAAGCTGAAATAAATACATAATTTACTTTTCATTTTTTTAATACTTGCTGTAAATTTATGCATTATTTACTTTGAAATGGAAAACTAAGAAAAAAGTGCTGTAGGGTACCAAAACATATGATATATAAATGCAAATTCATATAAATGAAAAACATATAACTGAATTGTTTTATAATGGAGAAAGTATGATACACAAAATATCTAATGTAAATTAGAGTTGTCCATAAATGATGCCATGCTATTTTTGGTAAATTTTAATCTTCCCTCTCCCCCCTGTCACATCACATTTTTCAAACCTTCCCTTAAAATGATGTCATTAAGTCATAACCCTCTATTGTACTTTAAAAAAAAAAATCAGAGATGGAATTCAGTTTAAGAAGTTTTATTTACAGAGTAAATATCAAGTAACTTAATCTAAGACTTTTTCACTTCAATACACTAGTTAAATGTTCTTTTATTGAAACTATATGAACACTTTTGGGGAGATTTTCCATATCAATAAATTTTTTGTCAATCCATTCAATGTCTTCAGCAGAGTCACATACAATCTTTGCCATGAGCTCCCTCTGTCTTGTTGTTGCAACCTGCATTGGTCATTCTTTTTGACCAACAAGAGCTTGACATTGAAAATTTGCAATTGGCTTAAGTCTGCACAACCACACTCAAAAATTGTGCAGATTTAAGGGGACACGATATAATCCTAAACTGCCATATATCTGATTCATTCCATGGTAAATAATGTTATGGCAACAGTGGTTGTCCAATATCACAACCAACTAAGAGGGAGCAGTTGTTCAATTTGATAACATGGTATTGGATGTTAAAAATCAAGTAGGATACTTGACTTTAAAAATAAATACCAGGATTGTCTATTGAAATGGTAAGAGTCAAAAAATTATGAAATAAGATATTTTATAAACAACTTTGCTGATCATATTTTCTCCTATACAGTTTTGCATTTTGATTTCCATGAAAATGTCCATACTTAGTGATGCCTCTGGAGGAGTTTTGCAATATTCATAAAGTTGCAAAATGAAAGATCAATGCATGTGCAGTTTTATTATACAATTTGGATTATGGTTGGATCGTTTATATTTAGTAAACAGTCACATCATGCTGCCCTAAACTTCCCCTCCCTTGTCGTAGATTGTCACATTTCTTAAATTTCCCTTTGGGGTGTGACATCATTTATTAATGACTCCTATGAAAAACATACAATTGAGAAATATAAATGGGGTTCAACTGTACTTTACTATTGTGTATAATACTATTATTTTCTTTTGTTTAACTTCATTTATATAAGAATAACAACTTGAATTTTTCTTGAACATAGTAAAATTACATCTAAAAAAATCTATTATAAGCTTTTTATTTATGTGAAAATTTAATCCTGTTTAAGATGCAATTAAAATAAACTTAAAAATGTTTATAATTGAATATTCAAAGTTAAAACATTAAATATAAAAATCCAGCAACAAGTTGCTTAACTATCCCAGCAAATTTAAAACTGCATGTGTGGCACCATTTAAAAAAGCTTTTTATATTTTTAATAATTAAAATGGCAAAAAGCTTAATTTTGAGGCTAGGAATGAGTTTTATAAAGAAAAAGTATAAATATTAATAATGAGTAAAATTGTCATTAAGTCCAATCCCACTTGAGATATGACACACAAACCCCCACAATCTCCTCATTTCCTGGACCTTTAATCACCACAATTTCATAGCATCAATCCCCTAATACAGAAATCTTCCTGAAAAAATTTCAGAAAATTTCATAAAGTCATAAAGCTTTAAAGTGAGTGACCAAAATTGTCTCACACACACACTAACATCCATACATACATAAAAAAAACCCCCAAATTGCATTTCTCAATGTTTCAAGGCCTCCTGAATCCAAAAATGTAAAAATCTGGGGAGGGAGGGAATTTTCTGACTGCCACAATTTCCCCTCTGTTATATATAATAATGCCAGGAAAGTAAAAAAGCATTAATAGTTTGTACTTTTTCAAAAACTAACATTTTAAAAATTAAAAATAAAGTAATTACTTGTAATCAGGTAAAAATGTATCAGTAAATATGCCAGTAATTTAATATTTCTTACCAGTAAATTTGGTAAAAAATAATACACAATAATTTTTTAAGCCAAATACTTATTTGTGTACACTTTCATGTATATTTATATTTTCATATATTAAAGACAGAAGTGTCAAAGTTTTTATTTAAATTGTAAAAGTTCATATAATTTATCTTTTAAATTATTAGTTTATAGTTCTTTATAATTTTTAATTTATCATATTATATCACCATGCTAGACAGTTTGGCAATTTTTTTTAATATCATAACATCTAGAGCACAATGATGATTTTAATTCACAAAATGGAATAAATTTATTTGATAAAGTAAATAGCACAATGCTAAAAAAACAGCATTTTTATTAACTGTCTTTAATAAAATGAAATGTTTCATTTTATTATTGTTATTAAAGACAGTAGTAAATAAAGTTATTGCTGTAAAGACAATATTTATAAAAACATTTTAGCATGATGAATTTATTTGTTTCTCTTTCATATTTATTTGAATGTGAGCACTTGCACTGGCCACTTTATTAATCATGTAAAACTTTGTTTTTTGAAAAAAAAAAAAAAGGGAATTCAATTGGTCATGGAGCACCAAAGATTGTTTAGTTGCTGAACTTGAATGCTAAACTTTTTGTCATTAAAAACCAATAAAACAATCACTAAGTGCACTAATTTTTTAAATTTTGAATTTTTGATTTTAAGTTTTGGAAATCTACTGATAATGTTTTGAAAATTTACCATTTTACTAGTAGTCAAAAAGTCAGTAAATTTGCAACCCTACTCAATGTGGAGAGATAACAAACAGAAGTCATGTAGATGTTATATTGGTAAAACAAAATGCTTATCATAAACAAATTTGAAATTAAACAGATTGTAAATTAAAAAATATTATTGTATTTTTACCTAAAACTTTCATGACTTGATTTGAGAAATGCATATTTCAAAAATTAAGGACTAAAACTAATGCATGATTACAAGGTTAACAAATTACATTAACATAAATTGATTAAGTTACATTTAACAATAAACTAATATTAACCTTCTAATTGAGCACTTCTCATGAAACAAACGAAATCAATTTATGTAATTGGTGCTCTTACTTAATAGCTTAAGACCGATACGTTACCGAATTTGATCCTCAATACACATGAAACTGATTCATTCATTTGTACCGTCATCCACCTGCAGTTACCATTACATAAAAGGACAAAAAAGGAAAGTTACAACCAATCACAGCATAGAAATACATAAACTCACCATTTGTATTTCATTACAGATAAATTAATTATAGAATAATAATAATAATTTCCGAGTAGGAGTAAGTCTAATTGATTCTACTCCACAATTTATATATCATAGACTATGTCGTCACTTATAAATAACGTTGCTTCCTTTTTCAAAGCGGTTATCACATGCTAAATCTTTTATTATAATTAATAACACAGTATTACACCCAACAAGAATGTAAATAAATCTATTGCATTAGGAATACATTTTTAAATGCACTTCTTTGCTTTTACTTGAATCAAGTGAATTTAAAGAACAGAGCAACATGATCTTGATTTATGGAATAACTTCTGACAAATTAAGCAAAAAAAACTCACTTCAGCACACAAGAAATAATCAAGAAATGAAAAAAATACCTTCTTAGGAGGCTCTGCTGAAGGTTGTCCGAATTCTCTTCTCAGTTTTTCAGCTTTGAGAGCTTCTTGCTTCTTAAAAAGTTCAGCTTTCAAGTCTATCAGCTATAAAATAAACAAAATTTCTCATGGTGAATTCATATAAAGCATTGTCTGCTTTCTATTGATTCTTTATATTTATATACTACGCCCGATTATTACTTACAGACGAGAAATTGATATTAATTCTCTTTTCCGTAGTCATGGCAAGCGTAAACAACAAATTATCCGTAATGAGTGTATGGAGATACAAAACGCAAATCTTCCATCATTAACCTTCGTACACAAATACGACGCCAGATGTCGATTTTAAAAGTCATATTTCTTAATATCTTTTATTTAATTCGAATCTGAATTCGAATTAATAAATATTATTACTTAACGTTTAATAAATTAATATTTTAAATATTATTCGAGATTGCTTATGGTTAAAAATTCTATGTTTATACATTTATTTCATTTTTTCTCCGCTAGGATGCGTTGACGCCATTTCAAACTGAAAATGTGTAACGTTACCTGCGTAGATCTCTTTTGACTTGGACTTTTATATAATTTTTTTGTTTTTTTTTGTAAGTAAACTTTATTAATAAGTTGAATATTATTTTAAGATCTCGATCTAATCGGTTATCGGCATATTTTAGTTAGGACATGAAATCTTCCGATTTGGTTAATTTCTCCCTAAAGAAGTTCTCAAACAAGTTTTTTTAAGGTTAAAATCCTGCTTCCTGATCTAATTCAAAAAGGTTTTTTTATTGTATTTATTGGTAAGATTTTGTTTATTTTCATATAAAAAAAACAAAATATTTAGTGTAATAAACACCAATCTTACTACATTTTAGTTTATATTTAATATATTGAATATTTTGCTGAAGAATCAATGTGAGTATTTCATGTATGACTGATTTCTATGAATAAGCAAATTTTCCTCCAGGAAAAATAAATCTCATCCATTTTTCTTATAGTAACAGAAGTTTCATACAAGAATGTACAGGTACTTATACATTTTGTTTAGTTACAGTACACATGTGAGATAATGTTTTTCAATAATTGGGGTATTTGTAATCATTTTGGTATACCATTATTTTTATTAAATACATGTTTTTATTAAACAAAACTGAAAGTAAAAGAAGGATAACAGTTTTGATATTAAAGAGATAATAGATTTATGCTTTTTACCATGTGTTTAATGATCATATACACTGGAATAAAAACTTCCTATTATTAAAGAAGTTTTTCCTTGATTTGAAATGAGTTTATCAATAAATTATCTTGACATATATTCCTTAAATCTCTTGAAATTTTGATTAGTTTTAAGACCAATCTTATTTGATTTTGTCAGTTTCCTGTGGATCAATGATGTATAGCTTTATTTTCTTCCTATACATTTTTCACTGTGAAAGTATTCTATTTATAAAATTTTGATAATAGATAACCAAAATAAAAATCTTTTTTGAGACTTTTTACAAAAATCAGCATTTTTATTTTAGTTTGTGCTTCTCTGAAAATGAGTCTAAATGTTCAAAAATTGCATGTATGTAAACATCTTTAAGCTTTAGAGCAGAGCCGTAACTTGTGTATAGGATGAGGTGTGACTTTAGAGCAGAGCCGTAATTACTACTACTATTAATAATGAAAATCTGAATAATTTGGCAATAAAAGTAGGCATTATGTATTATCTCTTATTAAATTTAATAATTATAATTAAATTAATATTTATTAAATAATTTAGAAAATTCTGGAAGAACAGAGTCGGTCTAGAGTGGGACTCAAATCCATAACTTCCACTTATTGTGCAGATGTGTTGCCAGTTATACTACCTGGACCTCCATCTGATCTCGTGATGTATAATCCAGACATTACAGACATTAAATTTAGATATAACCATACTAGTTCTCACAATGGTAAAACAATCCAATTTAATCCAGCAATTGTTTGGCTTTAATGGTTCAAAAATTTTTGAGATTTTTCACTTCCTTCTTGTGTACCTGTAACAAGACCCTTTTTTTTACTATTTGACATTTTATTCAACAGTATGATAAATCAACACAAAATAACATAATATTATAAATAATAATTAATGTTAATACAATAGACTCTTGTTAGTTAAAACACAGAGAGACAACCTTATACAGTTTGAATTTCTGGATGTTACAGGAATGATGAAATGATTTTAATAATGTTGGTTACCAGATGGCAAGCAGAATAATGTTTAGTCAATGAGAAATACAAAACAAAAAGGTTCTGTATTGTCCATGTGATAATATAATATGGTTTTGTAGTTAAAATACAAACAAGTTAAAGTGGTAAATATAGACTATTAGAACATCTAATTTATATTTAACTTATTTAAATTTCTTTTATAGAGGCTCTATCTGACTGTCTTCACTTGTCCAACCACACTTGCATTTTGCATTATTTTGCAAATCTCTATATTTTTGTAATTTAAAAACAATGTTTTTGTAAATGTTGTTAGCTTTTTATATTATTTATACTTATTTAATATATGAAATTTTTTAATTAAAAATTAATTGATATTAAGGAAAAAGGAAGTTTTATAATTTAAAATAATGTGGAGCAAATTATCATAATTTTATGCAGATAACCAGCAAAAAATTGCTTGTATGGAAATAAAACTTTACATAACCCAAATCACTATACTGTATTTACTTGGGTATAAGACAATCTTGCATATAGGATGAGGTGTGACTTTAGAGCAGAGCCGTAACTAGGCAGGTGCAACAGGTGCATTCGCACAGGGCCCACTTGGAAGGGGGGCCCAAACTGCTGTTCACAAGAAATTATAGTTTTAAATCTTGAATTTTTCCTCCTTTTTATTGGTGATTACATTTTGCCTTATTTAGATTCTAGATGTCTGCTCACCAGTGTTCCCAACCGTGACTTTTAGAGGGACGTAGTGAGATAGCAGAGACAGCAGACAAATCAGACAAAAGTAGCGACTTTTGAAATTTTGTTTGTTTATTTTTTGAGAAATTTAAATTTATGTTTATAGTTTTGAAATTTATAGATATTTCTCTACTTTATAGAGCTCTCTGTCGACGACTAATATTATTACGATATACAAAACTGTATTTCTAGATTTTTCTACAGTGTGCAGAGCTAGAATTCTGTAAAGGTAACATTTTGTAAGAAAAATAAATCTGCCCGGGGATTTTTTTAATTGCTAAATTGCTAAATAGAAGACGTGGTAACTCTCGAATAAAATCTTAGTCTCGAGGTTGTAAAAGGCGTGCAGAAATTCTGACATAACTTTTTGCTTTGTATTGGNATCTCGTTGTTGGATTTTATATGTAAGGGATCGATTGGAAAAAATTTCTTAAAAAATTGGTAAAATGTAGCGAAGGTAGTGAAGAGCGGTCAACCCAGGCGGCACTTTCGGTCTATTGCACGAAAAGAACATTTTTTTTTGTATAGAAATAGTATAAAAATACAAGACGGCATATAATTTTTTCCAAGGAAAACATCGTTTATTGTCGGAAATTTCAGCACTTAAGGCTATCTTCAAAAAAATATGGTCCTTAAAGACCATATTTTTTGAAGATGGCCTTATGTGCATAAACGCAACCTAAAGGTTGAGTTTGTGCAGAACTCAACCTTTGCATAAACTCAACCTATGCATAGTTTATGCATAAACTTTATTAGGTTGAGTTTATGCAGACGCGAGAAGAGGGAAAAACAGGCGAAATAAATATTTTGGAATCAGAATTCGCACTCGCAATGCAGTTTATTCAGGAGAAGGAAACGGAGTTCTTGCACTTAACGCACGAGAAATGCAACAGTTTTCTCTCGTCCTTGAAAGTTTAACTTTCCCTAGAATTTTTCTTTCTGCTCCTGAGTTGACACAGATAGTAGTTCGGCGTTCTCTTCCGCGCAGCGACAACAGTAAAATGGAGAGGATGAAGTTCGTCGGCAATTTATCGAACTTAAAGAAAATGGCCGAAAAGTTGCAAAAAACACAGAGAAACCGTAAATAAAAGGAAGGACATGTTAATAGAGTTGTTTCTTTATTTTTATTTGAATTTTCTTTAATTTTATTCGTTGTAAAATTCATCAGGCATTTCCTCCCCGTTATTATATAAACGTAAGAAGAGGGAAAACAAGGAGAGTATGCCTGAAGGCACGCGACCTTGGTTCTCTTGATTTTTCCTCCCCTCGCAATTCTGGCGTCTCCACAAACGCAGCTTTATTGACTATCATACCTATTTAAGCACTTAGTCGTGCTTAATCAATAATAACATTAATAATATTTTTTCACAAGGTTTCCTATGACTATATTTTCATTTTTTGTCAAAGTATGTTTCATGCGTATTACGTTGTGTTTTTGTAAGGTGGCAAACTGAAGATTTGCCCCGAAGGCACAAACACTATTTAAGCCACTGTAAATGGGAAACTCCTGATCTAGAAGAAAGATTCGAACAAATGAATGGCAATGGCATCCTGGATTTCTGTATGATTTCAATAGACTTCCGACAAAGGGGAAATCTGTCGAACCATTGTTCATATCTGAGAGATAGGCGGCTATTACTGTAGTTTCTTTACCATGGTGATTCCAACTGAGTGCTATCGATACATTTTCTCAAGTGCGTGGATATTACTGACTCTTCCAGTCTGCTGAGAACATAGCTTTTTGAAATTGAGCCTTATCGAAATCTACCAGTAGTCAACCGTGACTAACGATAGATTGTCGTCACTCGCTGTTCTTTCTATTGAAAATTGCCTAGTCCGCAAATATCTCCGGTTTTATACGAGATTTTGTAGAATCATAAGCGCAAAAAAGTAAGCTTTTTATGCTAAAACGCTCGAACGAACCACCAGCTGGATGGAATTGCCTAATTGCTTCAATAGTAATTAGTAATTTGGATTTAGTATGTTTACGTTACAAAACTAAATCGCATATATTGCATAAAATGATTTTTATATTTCGTTTTAATGATTCAATCTCGATTTCGTTGCTGTGTAATTCTGTTTCCAGATATAATAAAAATGTGAAAAAAATAAATGTTTAAAGTTTGTTTTGTGAATAATGAATGACAAGATGTGCGTGATCGTGAATGTCAGATTCCGTGAGGCTGGGGTGAGATCGGCGGCTCCAGAGGCACCGCCCTCCCGGCCCGCCACAGGTGCAAATATAGGCTATATCTATTTCCTGCATGTGGCCAAGATGAATGTTTGTCCTCTTTCAGGTGGATGAAAAGATCGATTTTGAGTGAATACGGCGAACATTCCACAAATCTGGAACATTTATTAATATCACTCCACACTACTCTGTATTCTCACAATACCAAACATCCTTTGGCTGTTATAAATTGAAAGTTCTAAGAAGTGTTTAAATTTTAAAATATACAGTATCAAACCGAGTTGACCAACAAAACATACAAAACTCAAATACGCTACGTATTTTAATTAATAAAAAAATTAAACCAATTGTAAAAGTTATTACTCTTTATAACCTCTATTAAAAATTTAAATCGGTTGTAAATTGATTAAAATTTCTAAAACAGGGTTATAAAGCAAGCGGTTGTAAAACAGTCTAATGTTATTAATTAATGTATTGCATTTTTATTAATAGATGGAGTATTTCACTTCATTTACTGTAATCACTCTGGGTCTCGCTTACACGGAGTGTTAAGAAATTAAAGCGACAAAATAAAATGAGTGGTATAGAGGGTCAATAAAAACAATTTTAGTCATATAAAATGGGGATCGTTGCAGCTTCCTTTACGAGATATGGGTTCCTAAAATTTCTTCGCTGCCTTGCATATCATTCCTGTAGTACGAGTATGTGAAAACCTACCGTCATTGTCAAACGCCTTGTTTCGCAGTGTAGCAGCTTTATAAACGTAGACAGGTGCATCTCAGAAAAGTGAAAACTGCAAATTACAACAGACCACGTTTGTTACTTGTCTTTTATTAATAATCCACTTTTAATTGCATGTCAAATTTTAAGTTCTGTTAATGTTAAAAAAAAAGTAG